CTTTGTCTAATATAAGGTAGTTGTAATTTTGTGTGTTAGTCTCTGTCCTCTATTCTGTAGTGTTGGTCTACCAGCCTATTTTGGTGCCAATATCATGCTGTTTTTATTACTATTGCTCTATAGTATCGTTTAAGGTATGGTATAACAATACCACCTGCTTCACTTTTCCTGCTTAGAATTGCTTTGTCTACTCTGGGTCTCTTATTTTTCCAGATGATTTTCATGATTGTTTTTTTCTATTTCTATGAGGAATGTCATTGGGATTTTGATTGGAATTGCATTGAACCTGCATAGTGCTTTCAGTAGTATGGTCGTTTAAATAATAGTAATTCTGCCTATCCAAGAACAAGGTAGATTTTTCCATTTTCTAAGCTCTTCTTTGATTTCTTTCTTTATGGTTCTGCAGTTTTCATTGTATAGATATTTCACCTCTTTATCTAACTTGATTCCTAAGTATTTTGCTTTTATTTTTTTATGTGTATGGTTATTGTAAATGGGGTAGTTTTCCTCACTTCCTTCTCTGAGGATCTGTCACTGATATTTACAAATGCCTTTTTTTTATTTATGTATGTTGATTTTATAACCTGCTACTTTGCTGAATTCATTTATTCTAGAAGTTTTCTGGTAGAGCTTTTTTGGGTTTCCTAGGTATAGAATCATATTATCAGCAAATAGTGTTAATTTAGGTTTTTCTTTTCCTATGTGTATCCCTTTAATTTCTTTCATTTGTCTAATTCTCTGACCAGTGTTTCAAGAACTGTGTTGAATAGAAGTTGTAAGAGGAGGCATCCCTGTGTTAATCCAGTTTTTAGAGGAAATGTCTTTCATTTTTCTCCATTTAGAACGATGTTGGCCTGAGGCCAATGATGTTGAGATATGTCTTGTTATCCCTATTTTTTAGTGTTTTGAACATGAAACATGCTGTATTTTGTCAAATGCTTTTTCTGTGTCTATTGATGTGATGAATTACATTTATTAATTTCTGTATGTTGAAAAAACCTTGCATCCCTGGGATGAATCCCACTTGGTCATGGTGCACAATCATTTTGTATTCGATTTGCCAGAATTTTGTTGAGAATTTTTGCATCTGTGTTCATTACAGATATTGCTCTAAAACTTTTTTTCCTTGTGTCCTTGCCTGGTTTTGGGATCAGGGTGGTATTGGCCTCATTAAATGAGTTTGGAAGTACTCCCTCATTTTCTATTTCCTGAAATAAATTGAAGCATATTTGTTCTTACTTAAAGAACTTGTAGAACTTGGTGTGTATCCATCTGGTCCTGGGATTGTCTTGGTTGGTAAGCTTCTGATGGCTTCTTCTATTTCCTCACTTGATATTGGTCTGTTTAAGTTCTGTATATCTTCCTGAATCAATCTGGGCAATCATATGACTTAAGAAATTTGCCTATGCCTAAATGTCTTCTATTTTATTGGAGAATGTTTTCAAATAATTTCTAATTATCCTCTGCATTGCTGTAGTGTCTGTGGTGATATTACCTTTTTCATCACATATGCTAGCAATTTGGGCTCTCTCTCTTTCTATTCATTACCCTGGCTCATAGTCTGTCAATTTTATTTTCCAAAGAACCAACTTTTTTTGATTTCAGCTCTAATCATTTCTTGCCTTCTCCTTTTGCTCCTCATTTGTTCTTTTTCTAGGGCTTTGAGATGTAGTGTGATGTCATTTATTTGTAGGCTTTTTCTGTGGAGGAATGAACTCCATTCAATTAAGTTTTTTATTAGTACTTTCATTGTCTGAAAGATTTTGCTATGTTGTGTGTATGTTCTCATTTACCTCTAAGAATTTTTTAATCTCTTCCTTGATGTCTTCTGTAACCCATTGTTCATTCAGTAGCATATTATTCAGGCTCCATGGGTGCAGAAATTTTTATTCTTTATTTTGTCATTGATTTCCAATTTCATTCCATTAAGATCTGATAAAATTCATGGTAGTAGCTCTACTCCTTTGTGTTTGCTAAGAGTTGCTCTGTGGCATGGTATATAGTCTACTTTTTAGAGCTGCTGAGAAGAAAGTGTTTCCACTGGATGCTGGCTGATATATTCTATATATTTCAGCTAAGTCTAAGTGATTAATTGTGTTATTGAACTCTATAGTTTATTTATTCAATTTTTGTTTGGAAGATCTCTCCAGTGGTGAGAGAGATGTATAAAAGCTACCCAAGATCATGTTGTGGTCAATTTGACTCTTGAACTTGAGAAGAGTTTGTTTGAACATATGTGCACCATTGTTTGGGGCATACATATTTATGATTGTTACGTTTTGTTGGTGTATGGTTCTCTTGAGCAGTATGACATGTTCTTCTTTATCTCTTTTGATTAACTTTGTCTTGAAGTCTACTCTACTTTATATAATATGGGGACCCCTGTTGCTTTCAAGGTTCATGTTAGTGGTATGTTTTATCCCAACCTTTCACCTTCAGTTTGCCTTTTCCTACCAAATGAGTCTCCTGGAGGCAGCATATTGTTGGATTTTTTTTTTTTAAATCCAGGCTACTAGCCTATGTCTTTTGATTTGTGTGTTTAAGCCATTAACATTTAGGGTTACCATTGAGACATGGTTTGTATTTTCAGCCATATTTGTTCATTTTCGCTACTTGACTTGAAGTGTTAATTATTAATTTTTAATTGGTATCTACATATAGGGTCTACCATTGTAATTGAACATGTGTAGTCATCAAAATCAAATCAGTGCAATTTCTACCTTCTAAAATATGGTTTTGATGTTTGAAACCTGTGAAGTCTTGTTAGAATTTCCACTATCTAATAATTACTTACACAATTCAAATTATTATTATTTTTATTAGGTTATTCAAAATAACCTAAGAGTTATTTTACCCTCTTAACTGCTTTTCAGCATTCCTTGCTGACTGTTTATTATAACAAATATAAAAAGCTTTTCTCTTTTGTGGTTCTTTATGATCAACTTTTTCAGCTTCAACCTATGAGTGCAAACATACAGGATTTGTGAAATAGAAAATTCACTAGAAAAAGACAGTCTCCCATAGTAAATCCAGGAAAAACAAGAATATAAATTTAAAAATTGTAGACTTTAATCACAGTGCCTTGGGAGGCTAAGACAGGAGGATGGTGAGTTGATAGCCAGCAATAGCAAGGCCCTGAGCAACTTGGTGAGATGCTTTCTCTAAATAAAATACAAAATAGGAGTGGGGATGTGGCTCAATGGTTGAGTGCCCCTGAGTTTAATCCCTGGTACCCCCCAAAATATTTTAGGGTTCACATTTAATCACTAGGCCTTAGTTATTTTTTGGTTATATATATATATATATGGCATATACCAATTCTTATGAATTTATTTTATATTTCAAATATAAATATTTATATAGTATAAGCTTAAATTGATCTATATGAGCATGTAAAAAAAAACTTTAAAATTGTTTCAGGTGAGGCTGAATGCCTGCTATCCCAATTGCTCAGGAGACAGAGGATTGCAGGGTGAAAGCTCAGTAACTTAGCAAGATTTTTCCCCAATATAAAAATGGCTAGTGAGATAGTTTAATGACTAAGTTCTCTGGGATCAATCTGTGGTACAAATGAAAGAAACAGGTTTTTAAATTGTCTTGTCTCAACAAACAATGTGAATTTAAAACAAAGTGCATTCTATTACTTTTCTGTGACAGACAGAATCTGCTTTAATTCATTTTAAACATTTGAATCTTACAAAATCCAAGTTTTCTAACACTCATTAAATGACATGTTTTAATCACATGTGTCTCGAGGCCATTGGATGAATTTAAGGTCAGTGTGGCTGAGGAATCTGCAATCATATGAACAGGAGTGTTCAGGTGCCACGAAGTTGCAGTAATAGTGAAGAACTCTGGATGGATCGTTCATTGCATTGAAACTGTTGGAAAATTGCTTTCTGATGGTAAATTTCTATATTGGTATTGGGAAAAACTTAGACCCATTTTCTGATAGTATGCTTCAAAGAAAGGGACACAATTTCATGTAATGATGAGGAGAAATAATCATATAGGTAGTGCCAGGAGAAAGCACAGTCTGGTCATTCTGCTAGCTCCAGTTTTGAACCACAATCACCACTAAATGATGGGCATCAAGTATATATGATTAAAATTGTGTAAATGTACCATGGTAGTGTTGTGAATAAATATCTATAGTAATATTGTTAATATCTATAGTAATGCTGAGGTTCCATTGTTGTTAGGAAGCATCCTGGGGAATGGGAATGATTCATAGATGACTGAAATCCTGAGCTATGTACCTTCTCAGCTGTGCACATTATGCCTGGCACAACATAGTCCAGGAGATCATGAGACATAATGCAAGCTCTCTGACAACAGTGAGATAATCTGAGAAACACCCTCAAACAAGGGTCAATGGAGTGATGCTTCCAATCTGGTCTAGGTCCCTATCGTACTAGGCACTCATGTCCTTTATGCACTGGAGAAATCAAGCTGCCCCCYAGAGTGGGCATTCTGTGTGGAAGGATGTGTATATCACAGGGATTCGAACACAGACTTATGAAATAGGTTACATTTGAAGAATTCACATATGGTGAGAGAAAGGAAAGGCCAAGTGAGGAGATGAGAAAAAACAGATCACACATGAAAAAAAAATCAAAAAAAGAAATCAGAAGTTTTGTTTGTTAGAGCTGATAGTAAAGACACCCTTTAGTATCTGTATCCAGGAAGGAGTCATGTTAGATATGGTGCTGTCACTAAAATCAGGGGAGGCTGTGTGATACATGCACCATCATCTGTGTCTCAACAATCTAGTGAGGACTGCTCAGGCAGTGAACACAAGCTGGTGGTCAGGACAGAAGTACAGAGAAAGACACCCCACTGCAAGTTAGGGTTATTTGGACCCTTTGAGTGGGCACATTCCATGGTGAAAGTGTGAGGAAGAAACATCTCTTCTCCCATATGCAGTGTGAGCACCATCCTGCTCATAAGGGGTGAGGAAATAGGATCTGTTACCCCTAACAACACATGTGTAGACTTACAGCTTGGGGTTGTCCTCATCACATAGCTCAGCTTCACCACTACTGCCAACCCTCCTCATGTCCTCTTGGTATTCACTAACGTAAAAACAGACAAAAGGGAGATGGAGAATTGAGACTGGTCTTGATTCAAACAAGTGGGCTTGGGACTGATGTCAGCCTTGGCAGAAACCTCTTACTTGTAGCTTTTTGTATGCTGGAAATCTATGATGAGCACAAGGGAGAAATGACTGACACATCAGAGAGGGCGACACCAGCACCCAGCACCTCAGCTGCAAAACAACCCTCCAGTAACACGATGAGAAAACACTGGGCAAGACTTGACTGAATGAATGGCAGCTCTTTGTGAAAAGTAGACGTGAGAACCATGGGTTGCTTTTATAAATTGTCAGGGTTTTAAAATACAGCTCAGGGTTCACACTTACATCTATGATATTTATATTACCATTCTTTAAAATTTCTCCTGAGAAAAGCCACTGGAAGAAAAAGTGTTCTTTAAAGTCAAGAAAGAAGAAGCCCCAAAGGTACTTCTCTGTGGGACAAGTGCATGGAGTACTGCATACAGGGCATACGTTAAGGGCGTCTGCATGGCAGGCCATTCCTCATGCTAGACATGTGAGTGGAAAACTGCTTACCCCATCAGCAAGGTATGAGGCCACGTGTTGCAGTCCTACTCCTTGATTGTTCACTGCAAGGACAGTTAGCAGACATTGCATTAGTGGCAGTCTATATTCTGCCTATGTACTGCCTGATTAAAATATACATGATAACTGCACAATAAAATCAGACCTGCTTCCTGCGTGGTCTCTGGAGGTCTTGATTAGAGACTCCACAGCCACACTCTCCTCTACCCTCTTCTGTGGACCTCCTCAGGGGATGAGAGTGCCCTTGTACTTCTCTGCATACCCCAAACTTTCGTTACTGGGAAACCCACATAGTCCAGCTGGAGGGTCTGTTTCCCTGACTGATGATGCAGTGGAAGAGTCATGTCCTGCTTTATCTTGGTCTTATGGTCTAAGTGACAAGAAAAGGAGATAGCATACATATATAAATGTGACCCTAATGACACAACAAATTGAATTTTGGAAAAAAGATCTGAAAGTGACCAGGGCAGGATGGGTTTCAACTGTCCTGAATGTTCCTCTTACATATTTCCATTGTTACATTTTGCAAAAGGTACTTTTAGTGATTAAAACAGAAAGGACTAATAGATAAAAATACTTTTCCAAATTCTTGTGAGTTATATTCACAAGCATATAATTTGCAACCATGAATTGGAAATTACCAGCACATTAATTTGTTTTTTATTTTTTATTTTTTTTTCCTTTTTTTTTATTGATTGTTCCAAACATTACAGAGCTCTTGATAAATCATCTTTCATACATTTGACTCTATTGGGTTTTGAACTCCCATTTCTACCCCAAATACAGATAGCAGAATCAATGTACTTCCTTCTCATCATGGTCCCTTATTTGACATTTACCAACTGAAAGAAAGTTTTTAACCATGCTCAGGGTTTTTTTTTTTTTTTTTTTTTTTTTTTTTGCATTAGTCAGTAGCAAGGGAAAATGAGGACATGAGGTTTTGAATATAGAACCTCATTTCCTTCTAAAGATTTCAAAATCTACAATTAATCAAACAACAGTAATTGTTCTATGAAATGGCCAAGGCAAGATTATCAATAATAAAAATGTTAAAACTTATTAATTCCCTGGTAATAAGTATACAAATTAGTAGTGTTTAAAATCTCTACATGGTAGAGCATATGTAAGTTGTATCCCATTAAGTTACTAAATTTAAAAAATGAAAAAGTAAAACTGACATTCCCTATAAAAAATGGACTCATTTTAGCAGAATCTCAAAGAAGCAAACATCCTTAGTGAATATCCTCATTGCACCATACAGAACACACAGTCCTCTGGGATCATTAGGACTGTTGGAGTGAATGCTCCTCTGAAACTACTGGGAAACCTCACTAGACCAAGTTTCCTCCTCCCATGCCTTTTTAAAACCCACACTAACTCCTCATCTGAGGACACAGGGGTACTTATTCAGGTGACTAAGCTGGGGAGGACTCTGTGCAGCTGAGCAGAGAACAAACTTGTAGGCTTTTACGGAAAGGATTTGTTTAAGTCTTGTCTCTGCAGGTTTGTAATTTTAATGTCTGTAGAAAGGCAAGAAAGTCCCAAGAAGGCAAGAACTGTGGCTTCCCCAGGGGTCATGTCATTTTTCTCTTAATTTTACTTCTCTGATGGATCAGAGTAATCCTGAGACAGCTGGGCTCCAAACTCTGAGTTTCCTGGACACATCTGGAAAGGGATCTTGATTGAGATCACTTTCTCATCATGTTGATAAGAGAACTTAAATTACTCTAATTCTTGTCCTAAGACCAAATTAGTCCAAAACTGTCCCACAATTTATAATGCCTCTACTTTGGTGTGAGGGACTTCTGGCATCCCCATAGTTTCCCTGTAGCCCCAAAGTTTCTCTGCCTACAGTGTGTGATGGGCTCCACTTCCATAGGAGCACCCCTTTTTTGGGGTAGTGATGGTTCTGTATGTCATCCTTTCCTAAGTGTCAGTTCTGTGGTTCAAGTCCTGAGTGAAATATTAAAATTAATCTAATATAAAAATAGAAAATAGAAAAGTAGAGGAAGAACTGTAGGTCACATGTTGTAGAAATCACAGGCAGATGGAATCTAGTCAGATCCAAGGCAGAATTTGAGCTGGAGTCCACTCGAAGAAACCTACATGATCCACTCCACGTTCTCTCAGAGAAACCATGTAAAGTAGGCTCAGTTTCCTGGGTACTATATATGAATGTATATAAAAGCATTAAAGCCCTATATGAAAAGTGAGCCCCATTATCTCTTGTCAAAAGAAAGGACAGTCATTTCAAGTGGACCCACTTATGTTCCAGTTGTATAAATCAGAAGATAGTTCTTGATCACCACTGTTATCAACATGTGAAGGGTTAGAACAGGCATGATAATGAATGAAACATTTGTTCTTTCTAGAGGTAATTGGAAACTTGGACTAAATGAAAATATATAAAATGAAAACTGTAATATCCATAGGCAGAAATTCCTCATGGATGGGCTGAGGGAGGTTGGAAAACTGAAGAAGAAAGTCACAATAATTGCAAAGCATGAGACTTCCAAAGCCATATGAGAGGGAAACATAAAATAGGAAAAGGGGGTGCAAGTCATTGAACAAGTATTTCAGCATATGCAGAGTTAGGCAAAACATCAAGAGCAGAGGAAAAGCATCCCCTCAGGAAGCACCCATCCTGGACTAGCCACATTAAAGTTTTGTGCCTTTGACCTCAGATCTGCCTTACTCCATGGCATGGCCCAATTATCACCAAGGTGCCACCTGGAATATTGTCCCTCATATACTCTCACCTCCTGGGAGGCTTCTGGAATGAGCCAAGGCAGAGTGTTGGCCAGTACTGCCAACTTTGTGGAGCTAAGAAGAGCTCTTTGGAGAGGTGGAGAATTGCAGACACACACCTTTGTTGTAATGTGGACTTGCTGTGTAACTAGGTACTGTTAAATACAATCTCTTTGTCTAAGTTGCCCTGATTTTTAATAAAGAGGAAAATAATTTCATCTCTAGTTGTGTGGATTAGGCCAAAATATACGGAACAAGTAGGTTCCAACCAGTTAAAGAAGGCTCTCTGGGGAGCCGGGCATGGTGGCACATGCCTGTAATCTCAGCAGCTTGGAAGGCTGAGGAAGGAGGATCATGAGTTCAGAGCCAGCCTCAGTGAAAGAGATTTACTAAGTAGCTCAATGAGATCCTGTCTCAGCATAAAATAGGGCAAGGGATGTGGCTCAGTTGTTGAGTGTCCCTGAGTTCAGTCTTCGTCGTCCCCCCCTAAGAACAAAATGTCTGGGGAGTGGGTCTTTGGCTTTGGATTTATAACAACTTTCATGGAGGTTCTAAAATGTAGAACTAGTATAGAATAAGTGTAATGAGCCAAGTTTCTGGAAAGGATGCGTATGCATTTGAATCCAGGCTTTTATACATTTTTACAATAAAACTAAAACATTCATGAATTTGGGATGCCATTTAAAAATGTGAGGTTAATACTGGTTCAGAATCTGATTTCCATAACAAGACTCCAACAGCACTAGAATTAAAATCAAAAATCAATAAATGGGATAGATTCAACCTAAAAAGCTGCTTCCCATCAAAAGAAACAATGTGTAAAGAGAACCTACAAATTTGTATGAAATCTTTACCACATATACCTCAGATAAAACATTATTCTCTAGGGTATATAAAGAACTCAAAACTTAAACAACAACAACAAAAAAAACCAATTAACAAATGGGCTAAGTAACTGAACAGATACTTTACAGAAGAAATATGATCCATTAAAAAAATACATGAAAAAACGTTCAATCCATTTAGCAATTAGGAAGATGTAAATCAAAATTGCTTTAAGATTTTATCTCACTTCAGTCAGAATGGCAATCATCAATAATACAGGCAACAATAAATGTTGGTGAAGATGTGGGGAAAGGAACACTGACACATTGCTCATGGGATTAAAAGCAAATTTGTGCAACCACCATGGAAAGCAGTATGGAGACTCCTTGCAAAACAAGAATGGAACCACCATTTGACCCAGCTATCCCTCTCCTTTGTCTTTACCCAAAGGACTTAAAAACAGCATACTATAGGGACACAGCCGCACCAAGGTTTATAGCAGTACAATTCACAACAGCTAAACCATAGAACCAAACTAGGTGTCCTTCAACAGATGAATTGACAAACAAAATGTGATTTTATATATATATATTTTCCCCCCACCAAGGGAATATTATTTAGCTTTAAAGATGAATGAAACTATGGCATTTTGGTGGTAAATGAATGCAGTTGGAGAATATCATGATAAGTGAAATTAGCCAATACACACACAACACAATGGCCAAATGTTCTCTCTGATAAGTTGATGCTAATTCACAATGGGGGTGGGAAAGAATAGTTACTTTAGATTAAGTAGAGAGGAGTGCAGGTAGGGGACAGGATATGGAGATAGGAAGGATAGCAGAATGAAACAGACATTACGTATAATACATAGTATATATGGATGCTAAATTACCCAACAAGGGTGGGGGAGGGAATAGAAATTCAGTGCATTAGACAAAGTTGGAATGAAGGAAAGAAAAGGGAAATAGGAATACAGATGACAGTAGAATGAATCAGACAAAACTTTTCTATGTTCATATATAAATACACCACCAGGGAAGGTCCACACCATCTAGGCCTCAAGAATGGAATGCTAACTAAAATGAGTTTTATTCTATGTATGTGTAATATGTCAAAATTTGATCTACTGTCATGTATACCTAAAAAGAGTACAAAATTTTAAAACTAACAAAGGAAAATTTTTATTCAGAGAAGTTATGTAAGTGAAAAACTCTTCAATAAATGCTAATGTCATCAAACTTAAATAAAAGTATAAAAGAGTACCTTGATCCCATACAAAATAACAAACAATGGTAAATAGAGTTGCCCAAGTCAGTCTGTGCAAATATCTACTATCACAAAATTTTTGGTTTGCAACTCTTTTGTATTTGAAATACTTACAAGTTGAGCAGAGAGGAAACATTACATGGCAGTGTTATGAATACTATTATTAGTTCTGTGTGCACTCAAAGAAAGCATTCTAAATTACCTCCCCCATGCAATAAAAAATCATGCAGTTGAAAGATACACTAGTTACTGATTAGATAACACATACATGTGTTTGTAACATTAAGTATGTGGGCAGCTGCTCAACTTGGCAGGTCAGATCCAATAGATAAGGAAGACACTCTCTTCACACAAGACAGTGTTTCTTTGAGTAATACTATGAAAGCAAGAGAGAAAGCAAAATAACAGACACAGGCAAATGTATTGCCAGACTAGGAAAACCCCAACACTGAACCTTTGTACTTGGGAGTCCCAAACAGCTTCTCATTGTCCTGACTGGGAAGTGCTGGGCAGAGCATCCAATCCACAAGTGAGAGTCTGAAGTCTAGTGATCCCATGAAGAACACTACATCCTCCAAGAACAGGTCAGATCCCAGAGGAGGGAGCAATAGCCTTGAGATGAGTATATAAATTGGGGTTGCAATGAGTGAGCAACCAAGCCAGATGCATTGGATGCATTGAGAAATCAGCATTCTTTAACTGTTTCATCAAGGATATGCAGACATCATGCAGGCACATAGAAAGGGAAGATCTTTAGTATTTTCCTTAGACCTCTAGTACTGAATCTTCCCTCTCAGCCTTATAAATAGTTAAAACTCTCGTATGTAAAAGGAAGCCAGTTTTCTATGTAAAATAACATGGAGTGGAGATAAGCATGAAACCTAGAGATTTACCCTTTGGAATAAAGAATGGTGTAAATATTATTCTCCTAGAATTTATCATTTCAATATTTATTTTCACAAATAAAGTTAAATCAAATGTTTGTGGGTGGTGTTTTGTTGACCCAAAGGGCTCACATATGAAGAGAAATTTGTGTTTTTACTTTTTGTACAGGACTTGTAGGTGAGAGTCTAGGGGATTATTTCAATCAAATTTGTGTTTCTCTCTTGGTGGTATCATGGGCTCCTGGAGATGTAAGATCTCAGGAGGGACAGGCTTAGTTTATAGTATTTTATAATTACTGGGTTGCAGAGGGTTCTGGGAGACCATGACACATGCTATCTATCACATAATCCAATAAGTATAACAAACAATATATTGTAAGTTATTAAGTAAAGAAGCTCTACAAAATCAAAATATATAATGAAATAAAAAATGTGGGGACAGAAATGCTCTTATAGTACGTCTAGTTTTCTTACAGTCATCATTTTACATATTTCTGGTTACACTTTTCTACTGGGTACACGAGACTAAAGAGGTGGTCCTATATTGGAATGTTTTTCCTATACTTAAGGTCAGTCTAGTCGCCTCAGTGATGAACATCATGGAATTCATGAGGGACTGCATGGTTTCTTCAGTCCAAGAGTCAGAATTGGCCTGTGAACCACGTGGTTTCCCCAGGAAACATTGAGAATATTTCCCCCCTTCAGCAACCCTCCTTTTTTACCTGAATATGCATGTTGGCTCCTAGTCTCTTGGGTCTTTCTCATCTCCCTTATTGGGAGCTTGTATAACTCTCCAGAGTTGTAGATCCCTTAGAGAGTACTGCAACTCTATAAGGTGAAATGTTAAAGTCGTAATTCAAACTAGGGATATCTGGGCATTATTTTAGTATTCCTACGTCCTTCCTGTAACTTAATTTTTGTATAATTACAAATAAAAGAATATATAATTTACATAAATAATACTCCACAAATAAAACTTGATTAAACATATGAAATGATTAATGGAGACGTTACAGCATTATTTACCCAATAGAATGTTTTACTATTGCAGCGATCCATTTTCAAAGTGAATAGTGGGAGAAGTGTGACCTAATAACATCATTAAATGCATGACAAGGTTAACATTAAGAAATTCACACTTTATTTAGTAACAAATTACATCCCTAATGCAAATATAAGTAAAAATGCCCTGTAAAACGGGCATGGTGGTCCATGCCTGTGACCCTACGGATGTGAGAAGTTTTGGAAGTCCAAAGCCAGGCTCCATAAATTGGTGAAGCTCTAAACAACTTACCAAACCCTATCTCTAAATAAAAAAAAAATCTGGGGATGCAGTTTACTGATAAGTGTCCCTAAGTTTAAATACAAAAATAAAAACTAAATTTTAAAATTTCATATAAACCTTAAGAGACTCCTATAATAATAAACTATGAGAATTATCTTTTCTCCAGGTGTGAAAAATGATAATATTTAGGAATTTTTGATTTACACTAAAATTATACCCTTCTAGGGATGCACTATTCTATATTTCTATTTCCTTATTTCTACAATATCAGCTAAAGATGTTAAGAAAATTTTCAGCAAATGTCAAAAGCAATTACCCATTTTCTGCATTTAAATGATTTTCCCCCTCCTATGTCCTGAATAATTCAATGGATAGGCTATAGATAAGAAATTTACTGCAAATTTTTATACTTGTTAAGGTGTTTTTGTGAATAGTTTGCTGTTTTCTAAGGTAAATACTTTGGACAAATTCTACTCCACATTTGCTATGAAGTAAGAAATTGAAAAGTAAGAAATTGAAAAAGGTATGAAATAAGAAATTGAAAAATGCCTGAAATTTGAATACAGTCTTGGACAAATTCTTTGGGTTTCTATATGCTATCAATCCTCCAGTGTTTCAAAAATGTTTGATAAATGTCCAAAAGCTTTGCAAAAATTTTTCCACATGTCCTCTCACTTGTATTAACTCTGAGGTGCTGCATAGGGTGTGTACAACTGTTGGAGACTCTGTCACCTATTTTACACTCGTATAATTTCTGTGCTATCATATCTGTGGTGTGACATTGTGTTGAACTACTGTGAAATAAGGGTTGATTTATCCTTAAAGACACTGATGCAATGTTTTCATTGTAAAACTTCTCTCCAGTATAAAGTCTATAATTTTTACTAAGATGTGATCTTCAATTTTAAAAAATTTGCCATTCTTCACATTTATAGGACTTCTCTCTAGGATGGGTTTTCTGGTGTCGAGTAAGTGATGATTTTTGATTAAAATCCCTGCCACATTCTTCACATTTGTAGGGCTTCTCACCAGTATGAATCCTCTTGTGGCAACTAAGGTGTGAGATTGTATTAAAAGCTTTGCCGCATTCTCGACATTTGTAGGGCTTCTCTCCAGTATGAATTATTTTGTGACGATTAAGGTTTGAGGTTCTCTTAAAATCTTTGCCACATTGTTTACAGCTGTAGGGCTTTTCTCCAGTATGGATTCTCTGGTGTTGAGTAAGTGACGATATTTGCCTAAAAGTTTTGCCACATTCTTTACATTCGTAGGGCTTCTCTCCAGTGTGGATTCGCTCGTGTTGAGTAAGTGATCCTCTTTGAGTAAAACTCTTGTCACACACTTTACATTTGTAGGGCTTCTGTCCAGTATGAATCCTGTTATGGCAATAAAGCTGTGAGTTTTTGTTAAAACTTTTGCAACACACTTTACATTTGTAGGGCTTCTCTCCAGTATGAATCCTGTTGTGATGATCAAGCTGTGAGACTCTATTAAAACTTTTATCACACACTTTACATTTGTAGGGCTTCTCTCCAGGATGAATTCTTTCCTGATTTTTAAAGCTTGGTTTTGGACTAAAATCTTTGCAAAATAGTTTACATATGTGGGGCATCTCTCCAGTGTGTGTCCTCTGGTGACAAATAAGATTGGAGCTTTTATTAGAAATTTTGTCACATTCTTTGCATGGCATATCTCCTGTTTGAACACTGTGATGTTGAGTAAAGTGTTTCAGTGTGTTGCATTCTTCACATTGGTAGGTCTTCTCTAAAGAATAAATTTTTTGGTGTTTAGTAAGAGTTGAACAATCTTTTAAGGTTTTGCTACACTTTTTACATTTACAGGTCTTTTCTTCAGTATAAATCCCCTGATGCTTAACAAGTTGTAACTTTTCACTAAACGTTTTTCTGCTTTGTTTTAAATTTGTAGGGTTTATCACTGTCATGTTATCTGCTGTGTTTAAACGATATATCAGCATGCTCAACATCTTCTAAACTTATAGGGCTCTCTTCCTCTATAAATTCTCCTGTATTGAGCAAACTCTGCACTGTGATTAAGAACCCTTTCCCATACCTTACACTAGCATATTTTGTCTTGACTATGAATATTTGGATGAGTAATAGCTTCTGAACACTGAAGCAAGACTTTACCATATTTTTCATTTTGGTAAATTTCCTTTAGAAAATTACTAGGAGTTTCTCTATATTCATAATTTTTATCAGCAATGTGAATATCCTGGTAATTACACAGGGTAGAAACATAGCTAATGGTGTTACTTTATAGCATTATCTGTATAGTGCACTTTCCAGAAATCTGTATCAGAATTGTCATTGAGCAATAGTGGGGAAGTAGAAACCTTTGTACAATTCTTAATATTTTCTACTTGGGAAAAAGGAGAAATTACTGTTTTGTTGCAGAAAAATGTACATTTTATAAAGAAACTTTCAAAAGTATCCCTATTAGAAATTTGTCTTAAATATCTTCTCTGTGCAAATGTTTGACTGGAAGTTTAACTCAGTGCTACATTTATAATTAGCCAAGTAAAATCTGATGCATGGACCATATTTCTTTTCAAATTTTCCACATTTCCTTTAAGAGGAAATATAGTCTTCAAAATGGCTGTGGATATATTCTTAAAGACATATACAGCTCCTCAAAAGTAAGTGGAATAAATTGAATTTTTTCAGATATTAATTGTTCCTGGTGTCTGTTGACCATAGAATTTTTATTGTAAATAGGGACTTCTCATTGTTTTTCTTTTTTATAATATGATTTTTGAATTTTACTCACCTGTAGTTTCCCATTGTTTTCTTAGTTGTAAATGGTCAAGATCATACATTCCAAATCTTCCCAGTCTCTCTTTTATTCCTTGCTCTGGAAAAATTTCTCGAGGATGATGAGAAGTCATGCCTGAAATAAAAATTATGGTCATATTTACTTACTGTACTTGGCTGAGTATATTATGCAATCATAGGAAATTACAGCAATAAAGGAACATCAGCAGGGGAGTGGATTATTAAACCCAAGTCCATCATTACTAGATTTATATATAATATATATATATATATATATATATATATATATAAAATAAAAATGTACACAGAAAATTACTTTGAGAACATTTCAATTCATCTTAGTGTTCACAGTATCCAAGATGAGTACATTACTATGGAAAGTAATATAATAGAAAAAAATACATTGTGTTACACAAAGCCTTTCCTCTTTCACAATATATTTTAAAAATCTACCAACTTTCTTCTCTTTCATTAAAAAAGAAATATGAAACATGCGAATATTTGGGGACTGTTCAAAAAGAGGTTCCTGCTTACCAACAGAAAAAAACATGGCTAAATTAAGTGTAAGAAAAGAAAAAAAGTTATGAATTAATCAAAGTGAATAGTTAATTATCCTTTAAAGAAGTTTACTGAAATAAACCAACCCAAAAATAGAATAAAATTTAGTGAAGAATTGTTAATAGTAATAAGCATAAAATGTGTGTTTACAGAGTTTATTTAGACAAGATCTGAAAGAATCTGGGGTAGTTGTATATAGCAACAGAGGAGGTTGAGCCAGAATGATCAAAATTTCAAGGCCAGCCAAAATAAAAAATGCCAAGTGGCAGTTCTCTTTTCAGTAATAATAAATGCATCTCAGAAAATAACAACAACAACAACAAAAACAAATCAAAACAAAACAAAACATCCAAGCAGCTCAATTATCTCCAAGTTGTAAAGACTCAAAGCAAGTTTTAATCCAAGTTTTAAAACTTACACAGAATATTCAGTGCAACCATGGTAAAAAGATGGGTAACCAGAAATGTGTAACTATATAATTGTGAAATACTTAGTCAAAACTTCACAACACAGAAAGAAATTCAGGGCTAATTTCAAGGGATTAAAGAATAAAATTATCAACAAAGACATTATATTCACAATTGCTATCTTTCAAAAGAAAAGGAAAATGAAGACTTTAAAAATATAAAAATGCACAGAGTATTCATCAACATTAGATCTGTTCTCCACTAAAGGTAATCCTTCATACTAAAATGTAAGTGTGCACAGCAACACAAGTCATATAAAATTTTAAACATTTATTGGCACAAACAATTCTATTTTAGTGTAATGATGGGTCTCAAAACATGTAAATTTGCAATAGAAATTGAAAGACAAAAGCATACAAACAAAACTGTTAATCGGCATATATACCTGTAACAATAATATAATTTTGAAAGGACACATAAGTATATTCAATTTTTTAATAAAGTGAAGTCAAGTTGATACTCATACAAAGTATGAGTAGGAAATTCTTCATTTTTAGATTTTTTTGTTGGCAAATGCAAGATTACAAAATTCTGATCAAAACAAACCTTGGCTATCTAAAATAACTCTAAAAATTACAACTGTAGGTGGTCCACAGGATACTCTAAATCTAAAGACACACACATGCTGAAAGAAAAAGGATATAAGAATAACACATACAAATGTGACTGAAGAAAACCTGGGCTGTCTAAATCATAGTACACAAAACATAGTTTAAGACAGTTACAGGACATAGAAGACATTTTAAATTAAAAAAAAAAAAAAACCTTTAAGAGGCAAAATAGGAAAAAGGAACCATTCCCTAGTTTCTGAATTAAGAGTAAATACATTCGCAATGAACATCCTACTTCCCAAACGCACAAAGAAAACATTGAGAGAGTTGAATGAAAACCAAGAATCACTGTCATCCTAGGAGACATCAATCCCCACTTACTGAAAAGGGAAATACAATGAAGCAAAATGGTAATTGCAAAGCATAAGACTTTGAAAATATTTTGAAACTATTGTAGACATATAGAATCCCTGTTCTTAATTGGAAGCAGGATATTATGATGGATAGACCAATTTTATGTATTAAAACAAAAGTTAATAAATATTTAAAGATAGTTATTTTGTAACCAACATGGAATAAAAATTTGAAGTCAAAAGTGATAGGGATGTTCAAAAATCCATAAATATGTGTCAGTTGATTCAACACTCTTGGGCATGTTGTTGTTCAAGAATTGAAAGATAACTTTAAGTAGTATAAATATCTTTTAATTTTTTAAAGAGAGAGAGAGTGAAAATCTTAACATTTATTTTTTAGTTTTTGTCGGAGACAACATTTTTGTTTGAATATGATGCTGAGGATCGAACCTGGGCCGCACGCATGCCAGGCGAGCACGCTACCGAATGAGCCACATCTCCAGCCCAACATCTTTTAATTTTAACTAGAGGCTCCAGGTAATATTCATCAAACTCCCCTTGTTATTTTTTTAAAGAGAAACCTATCATTTAAATTGTATGAATAGCCCCCAAAATACAAATAAAATTAGAAGAATATTTCCCTGCTAAAATATAAACTAAAAGTTACAGCATTCAATTGTAAATGCAGATATGGAGTCAGGTAGATGGATTTCTGAGTGAGTGTGGTAATAAGCCCTCACATCAATAGCAAATTAAAAACATTGCACACAAGTGTTGTTACACTACTATTCAACAAAGCCATCATGGGGGATGCAAACCAAATATCCCTTGAAAAGAACAGATGAGGAAATTTAGAATATAAAACTATAGAACTTTGAAGTCAAACAATTTATTCTAATTATATACCTTACAAATGTACATACACTAGGTTATCTGAAATATGTCACAGAAAAAATACTGCAAAATTCTACGGACATGACATCTCTAAACTAAAAAGGAAGTTTCTGAACAAAAGAGAATGGTTTTGCAATGGGGAGAAAGAAATGAGCCCTTGCTTCCTAGGAATTGATTTTTTTGAGATGTAAACTTTTTAGAGATACATTGCATAACAATTTGAATTAATGTTACTGAATATTTAAATTTTGGAGACAGTAAGTTTTATTTTGTGGTTTTTATTACAATGAAAGTTAAAAGATACAGAGAACTGCAACATTTCTCAAAGCTACATTTAAAATAATGTGTTCCTTATCCTATAAATGATTTCTGTTGGATAATGTCTCAATGAACCTTTTTGAATTTAGGCTTCCTCCTCTACCTCAACTATGTCCTCTGCTATATGTGGGCCACAGTATTTGACATCACTGCATTCCTCTAAGTAAACCATATGTCAAGAGAAGGATGTATATCATGGCAACGAAGCAAAACATTAAGGATAAAACAAAAACATCATTAACATTTTCTCCTCAGCACCAAGAACTACCCCATATTTTTTATTGAAAGCATGAATCTGAAACTCATTCTTATGGTGATGTTCCCAAAAGATATACTTAAAGGGAAGAAAATTAAATAATGATAACTAGGAATTTTGAAGGAAAATTATGCTCACCCACAAAGACCAGGTTGCTGTAGGTCTCCAACATCACTTCTCTATATAAATTCTGCTGAGCAGGATCCAGGCATTCCCATTCCTCCTCAGAGAAATAAATGGCCACATCCCCAAATGTCAATGGCTCCTGAAATAAAAATTGGTAGATCAATAGCACACAGACCAACCATTATTCAGTTTTTTAGTTTGAATTAAGAGTTAGGAGAACTGATTGTCATGTAGGAGAATGACCTTAATTATGTAATAAGATACTCTCTATTATCTAATTCAGAGGAAAATACATATGTCCAAAAAACAGTATATATATTCCACATCAGAGTGAGTGAAGGATATATACCATAATCCAAGCACTGAATAAAAGCCCACTCCTAACTATTCTCCCATCAGTGAGTGAAATTGGGGGACATTCCAGATGCAAATCAGACTTGTCAAGCATATTCTCATAAGGATATTGCGCCCAAGGGAGACCAAAAGAGTTGTTAAAAAAAGCTTTTGAAAACAGTCTGGTATTTATTCTCTCTGTATCCATGAAATAGATTGAGCTCCCAAATACAATTAGTTTCAAGTAGGATCCATAACACATTCCCAATGTGTAAAATATTCATAAAATATTAACGCTTGGAGACATGTAAAGTGACACTTCCACCTCATGAAAAGTCAGACTTGAAATATTTCAAGTTCTTTAAGCAGTTCAACGAGTGAATAAATTTGGTACAATAGAGGCCCAGACAGCAGCATGTTTGTGTTCAAAAGAAATGGTTAAGAAAAAAAGACCTTTTAATGTAATTGTACTGTGAAAATAATGGTAACAATTGTTACTTAAAACTCATACAACCAAAAAAAAAATAACCAAGAAAAATGATGGCTTTGAGAAATACATAATAAAATTATTAGCCATAAAAGAGGCACAGTATGTTATCTCTGTGTGCACAAGGAAGATGAGATCAGTAAGACACACCAGAATTGTCCACACAGTTTTTACACATAGGAACTCCACATGTGGATGGATCCTAATTACTTAAACATAGCTACTTTATTGGAAGAATTACCTTGACATCACCTCATCTACACAAATAACCAGTTAAAAATCTTCAATAGCAAAATATTTAAGTACTTGAGCCAACTGGAATTGTATGGTATCAAATTTTTATGAAAGAAACAACAACAAGACAAATCAGGTTACTAGATGATTATAGTCACTGTTCACAAAACACAAAAAATAAAAATCCTGACATGTTAGAATAAATATATTTTCCAAACTATGGAGCAACCTCACTGTAACACTATAGCCTTATGAGGCTCATTCCTAAGCAGTGAGTGAAGTTATTCTGGGCAGCTAAGAAAATTATTTTGTAAAGTCTACACACCTCAGATCCCTTTTGCAAAAAAGGAAATGCTTCATCTTCCAGAGTCACAATTCTCACCAGTTAATAGACACACAGCTGCAGTCTGTCCTCACCTACAGTGTCCTTTAAAATTCATTTTTCTAAAAGAAAATGTGTGAGTTTGCAGAAAATCAACCAAATTTCTAACCTTCAGGGGGCTGGGGTTGTGGCTCAGTGGCAGAGCACTTGCCTAACATTTGTGAGGAACCAGGTCTGATCCTCCGCACCACATATAAATAAAGAATAAAGGTACATCAGCACTAAAAAATACTTTTAAAAAAGAACATATTTTTGACACCGGTTGGCAAAAATAGCATTAGTTCAGGTCTTGAACTTGCAGTCTTACAACTCATTCTGATGCTACTTTTAAGTCCCAGAATGTCATCTACACTGCTGATCCACTTCCTGTAAATTGGGGGACCCTACAACTACCAAACATAGAAAGGATCATTCAATATTAAGATGTTGCTCATCTACAACTCTAATAAATGAATTAAACACAACCATGATATAATCCTAATAACCTGTTGCACAAATGTTAAAAAATTGCTTCTAAAGGGTATATGGAGAAGGCACGCATACAGAGTAGTCCACAATTCTGTAGAATAAGTTTACAGAGCAGGTCAGGCCCAGCAACCTGCAGAGTAACAGAGCTGCCCCACGCGCCTGCAGGGTAGGCGGACCTGCGACCGACCAGCAGAGCAGCAGACCTAGCGCCCTACCAGCGTGTTAGACAGATCACCCCAATTGAAGGAGGATCACAGCCACTACCGCCCCTGCAAGGGAGTTTTTTCAACTATACAAGAGCAATATAAATAAATAGAGGGAAAATTTCAAAAACACAACAGTTTCACCAAGCAGAAAGAAAC